TTCAGGGTGAGGCGCTACCCCCAGCACCGTCTCAGTGTTTAAAGAAGATGTCAGCGGCAGCCTGTGCTCTTGGCAGAGGCCAACTCTCCCTCTCCCAGCTGAAGTGCCAAATTCTGGGCCACTGATGCCCAGGCCAAAGGGCAGGGGGCACAGAGCTCACTTCCTAAAGGGGCCAGCCTGGGGCCCTCTGGTTTATAGACTAAGAGGGGACTATCTGTGAGAAATAAATCCAGGAGTGCTATAGACTCTGAGGTCCTGCTACAAAATCCCTGCAGGACTTATGGAGAAATATTCTCTTACTTTAAGCTTTAGGGCCTATAAAAATAAAAATGCTACCCATTCACCCCTAACAAGGTGATAATTTTGACTTCACTCATCATTTGTTACTCATTTATTCATTTGATGTTTATTGAGCATCTACTATGTGCCAGTGTGTCAGGCATTATACTGCCCTGCCCACTCGAAATCCCACCATTAACTTAGAACTTTCGTATCTATATCACATAGACATAGATATAAAAAATAAATAATATATACATAAGGTTCCCCATCCCTCACTGGTGTAGTATTTTACATTTTATTCATCATTTTTATTCAACCAACCTTTATAGGACACTGACAATGTTCTGGCCACTCCTAGACGCTGGACACAAACAAGATGCAATCCAAGATCTGAGAAGCCCTGCCTCCCATCAGTGTGACAATGAGGTGACCAGGGAAGTGGTTTCGATGGGCCTCTGGGATGTGGAGGCCGACAGAACAGTGAAGGCAGGACAAGGGGACGTGAGCCCCACCTCACTGGGGATGAAACCAGGTCTTGCCCTGCCCCTCTTGGGAGCTCCCACACCTCTTTTTGTTTTTTTTTTTTAAGATGGAATCTCAATCTGTAGCCCAGGCTGGAGTGCAGTGGCTCCACCTTGGTTCCCTGCAACCTCCATCTCCCACGTTCAAGTGATTCTCCTGCCTCAGCCTCCCGAGTAGCTGGGATTACAGGCTGCTGCTGCTGTACCTGGCGAATTTTTGTATTTTTAGTAGAGATGGGGTTTCGCCATGTTGGCCAGCTGGTCTCCAACTCCTGACTTCAGGTGATCCACCCACCTCAGCCTCCCAAAGTGCTGGGATTGCAGGTGTGAGCCACCATGCCCAGCCTCATTCCTCTTCTCTAAATGAGGAAATAGATAGAGGCTTCTGGGTCTTTGAATTTCATGGGCCAATATAATATTAAAAACCCTTTGAAGGGGCCAGGCATGGTGGCTCACGCCTGTAATCCCAGCATTTTGGGAGACTGAGGTGGGTAGATCACCTGAAGTCAGGAGTTCAAGACTAGCCTGGCCAACATAGTGAAACTTCGTCTCCACTGAAAATATGAAAATTAGCTGGGCATGGTGGCAGGCGCCTGTAATCCCAGCTATTCGGGAGGCTAAGGCAGGAGAATCGCTTGAACCTGGGAGGTGGAGGGTACAGTGAGCCAAGATTGCACCACTGCACTCCAGCCTGGGCAACACAGTGGGACTCAAAAACAAACAAATAACAACAACAAACAAACAAACAAACAAACAAAAACCTATTGAGGAAAACATACAGGTCACTGACTTTTTATTTCACCAAGTAAGGAATTTTAAAGAAAAAGCAAAACCAGATCAACAACTACCACCTGCCATCACCATCATTTCATGAAAGAACTCAAAAAGCAGGAAGGCATGGTCTCAGAATGAAGGATGGTCCATGGAACCAGATTCATCTAGCAGAATGAAAAGTGTTCTTCTTCTTGTCCTCATGTGGCCCCACCAGGAGCTCCTGCAAATACAGATGTGGCCCTTCCTCCTGTCTCTGGGACGATCATTGGAGCAGCTGCTCAGGGTCAGACCCCCACAGGGCACAGGACTGGAGCCTTTCAGCTGAGGGGCTGACCCTTTGCCAACCCCATGTCCTCCTCTCACTTCGGCCACCTCCTGGCACCCCTGGCATTGCCCTGGTGACAGGGTGACCCTCAGCGCTAGTGTCCCGCAATGCTACTTGTGACCACTGAAGCCAGGGCCCAGAGCAGCCTCCCAGATAAAGAAGGCCGCTGCCGAGAGCATTCCCCAGGCGCTGATGGCAACACCTCCTCCACAATGCTTCCTGGAGCCCCCTTTCCTCTCCCACCCACTTCTCTCACACACCACAGCTCTCCATCCTTTTCTTCCTCAAACTCCCTGGAAGATCATTCCTCTCCCAACTCTGGTCTTTAAGCCTCTAGCCCAGAAGTCACAATTCACCAACCAGCAAGGCACAGTTGCCAGCACACGCCCGTCTGAAGGAGCGGCTGCTGTCTAGCTGTGGTGGACGTTGCCCTGAGCTTCCCAGGCCCCCTTCAAGCTGCTGGACAGGCATGCAGTCCCAGGACCATGTTTAGCTTCCCCCACTGCAGGCCTCGCCTCAACTGCCTTGACAACAATCACATGCTTTCTTGGGGTGGCCCATGTCCAGTGACCAATGTGGAAATATAAAGGCCTGGTTAACTTTGCCCCACACAGGGCAACTCTGAAGCTGTTCCAGTTCCAATTACCCATGGGGCTACCAAGGCTGTTGTGGGCCTGGACCACAGCACGATGCCGTGCTTCAGCCACACTTGCTTCTTGCCCCATCTGCCCCAAGTGTTGACCCAAATGGTAGCTCCCTGAGAAACAGCTGGTGTGTTTCTTACACAGCAGGGTCTGCTTCCCGGACACACACAATGGGCACCATCGGCTCAGGTGTGGGATTACAGGCGTGAGCCACCATGCCTGGCATTTTTTTCCTCTCTCTTTTAAAAGGACTGGCCTTCCAAGCGCAGTGGCTCACGCCTGTAATCCCAGCACTTTGGGAGGCCGAGGCAGGTGGATCACTTGAGGTCAGGAGTTTGAAACCAGCCTGACCAACATGGTGAAACCCCATGTCTACTAAAAAATACAAAAATTAGCCGGGTGTAGTGGCATGCACTTGTAATCCCAGCTACTTAGGAGGCTGAGGTGGGAGAATCACTTGAACCCAGGAGGCAGAGGTTACAGTGAGCCAGGATCGTGCCATTGCACTCCAACCTGGGCGGCAGTGAGAGACTCCATCTAAAAATAAATAAATAAAATAAAATAAGGACTGACCTTTGGGATCGCTGTCTAGCTATGGACTCAGAAGGCTAGCGCCAAGCAGCAAAGCTGATCAGGAACCCCTTCATCCTGGGAGGCCCGCATCTTCCCCTTTCACGAGACTTCAAACCATAGCACATAGTTGGAAAGCTGCAAGAGCAGATAATTTAAGGGGGAAATTAAAACTCAGATGTACAAGTTCCAAAACATAATCCTCTTTATATACACAGTGGAAGTGGTGGAATGTTGTGGGGAGGAAGGAACTTGAACTTTGCTGGGCTTCTGTGACTGGTGACAGGCGCTCAGACATCCCAGCCCTGCACTGGGTTTGCACCTGAAGCTTCACAAATCCCCGCTGCCTGGGAGCAGGAGGACAGCAAAGAGAGCAGGCTATCTTGGGCTTCCATTCTTATTTCTACACGTTCTGCCCTTTAGGACCCTGGCCAGATGGGCATGAAACAGAAGCAAGCCCTAAAGTACTGCTACTGTTGCTGCCACCAACAGAGATCAAAGGCGGAGACCCTTCTGCTAGGATCCAAAGTCCAAACAGGCCGCTCCAGAGAGGAAACAGGCACACACCCACGGGAGGGGTAGGGGCCCAGGAAGCATCCCCTCCCCAAGGGCAAGGATGGGGTTCCCATTCGACCCAGCACATGCTCCTCACATCTGCACAGCAGGGACACCAAACAATAGATACAATTTCAGTGTTGATTGTGATGAACTTACCCAGAAGTTCACAATCAGTAAAATCCATAAAGAAGCTCTTTCAGTGTCAGCATGTTTAAGTTGCATGACTTATGGTTTAGCGTTGTTTTTATATTGGATTCCATGGGTGGCACAATCTCTTCAGCACTAGAGGCCTTTAAAGGACTTTCCCAGCTCACCCTGGGAGACAAGGGGCTGGGTGTCAGGGAAGTGACACATAGGGAGAAGAAAAAATTGACTGGGAGTGTGGGGGCCAAGGCCCAGCCAACGAGAAACCCAGGCCGTGCAAGGCAGAGCCTTGGGAGCACAGAGGCTGCTGGGCGAGAGTTTGCTGGTGAATGAGAGGCCTCCCCTGCTTTAATGAAGAGCATGCCCCACTCCACTCCCGCTAAGCCTGCCCTGCCTTCATGGTCCACACACCACAGGTGTGCACAGGTTCATGCGTGTGTGTGAGCTTAACACGTCAGCCGCACATACAGTCACTCAGAAACATCTTCACAGCTTCACACACGTGCACACAGTCAATGACCAGGAACAGGTATCTTGGGGCAAACCTAGAGCAGCTTCTCAGGGATTAAAACTCCAGCTTTTCTGTGGTTCCTGGAAGAGCCCTGACTTTGTCCTGAGACAGTGGTTCTCAAAGTGAGGTGCTGGCTCCAGCAGCATCAGTATCACCTGGGAACTCGCTGGAAATGCTCCGGGTTCTGGCTTCTCCTCCTAGAGCGCCCAGAGCTGTGGGGTCCTCCCTTGGGGCCAGAAACTCCAATCATAGTTTTTATGTACCAACCCCTGTGCTAAATAGACTTTGTGCATATTATCTGATTTAAAATTCACAAATGTAGCGTGAGATGCATACCATTTTTCCCTATATTTTTCAGATGGGGTAGACAGAGCTCAGAAAGGTTAAGAGACTTGCCTGGAGTCATCAAACCAGGCTCAAACTCCTTCTCTGTTCAGAATCACTCTTTAAACGTAGCTCCTGTCCTGGGGTGAAAGTCAACACCGGCCAAGAGCTGGGCCCTCCGTGCCAGCCCCAGCTCCCCCAGGTCTCTCCCTGCCTCGGCAGCTAGTCCTAAATCTTTCAAGAGACAAGGCCAAGCAGGGGGTGGGGCCAGGGGTGGGAGCCAAAGCCCCACCTCGTGAGCAGGCAGTACCTCTGCCAAGGCCCCCTGCCGGCCCTGCCCCAGAGAAAGGCAGGGAAGCTGCGGTGAGGGCTGGCAGCTGGAAGAGCCCTGAGCACCCAGCCCCCAGCCTGGCTCACACCCCAAAGCCTGGAGAGAGGCTGCTGCGCCATTGACCTGTGGACTCCAGAGACTCCCGCTGTGCATTCCTCTGATCCAGAAGGTTTCCTGGATTATGTGATGAGAAACCTGGGTTCGAACCCTAACTTGTCACCAACGTCCTGAGTGACCTGGGCTGTCCCGTCCCCTCTTGGAATCTCCGTCTTCCATCTCTTCGGCGAAGGGGTTGACTTATAAGGATGTTTTCTGCTCTGACGCTGTGATTTGAATTTTGTATCTCTACGAGATATTCGAGAAGTCTGGCCAGCAGGATGGAATCTGAAATAACAATGGTTCTGGACTGGACTTTGTGCTCAGCGCAACTCATCTTTGCCTGAGACCTAGGAGTGGTCCCAGGCTCTCCTGATGTGTCACCATGCTTGGCATCTGCTCCTCCCCTTGCCCCCATATACCCATGCTCTGAAGGGGAGTTCTCTTCCATAGCAAATCCGGGAGGAGCCGAGGAGCCAGGCCCTTTGTTCCAGACCCAGAAGCAGCCATGGGGACCTGTGACATTGTGACTGAAGTCAATATCTCATCTGGCCCTGAGAGCAACACCACGGGCACCACAGCCTTCTCCATGCCCGGCTGGCAGCTGGCACTGTGGGCCACAGCCTACCTGGCCCTGGTGCTGGTGGCCGTGACGGGCAATGCCATCATCATCTGGATCATCCTGGCCCACCGGAGGATGCGCACAGTCACCAACTACTTCATTGTCAATCTGGCGCTGGCCGACCTCTGCATGGCTGCCTTCAATGCGACCTTCAACTTTGTCTATGCCAGCCACAACATCTGGTACTTTGGCCGTGCCTTCTGCTACTTCCAGAACCTCTTCCCCATCACAGCCATGTTTGTCAGCATCTATTCCATGACTGCCATTGCTGCCGACAGGCAAGAGGGGCCTTGGGGAAGCTGGGGGGAGCCTCCTCACTGAGCTGGGGCTCAGACAAGGGTGTTGACATACCTGTGGTCACATAGCATGTTTGGGTAGAACCAAGAGAATGGCCTCCCAAATCTGGTCATGATCCAAAACTATGAATCTGGAAGGTGGGGGGACTGTGGAGCTCAAGAAGGTAGACTGAGGGTTAGACACAAAGAAGGACTTTGTATTAGATGCACTAGACGGGTTGTTCAAGTCTGTAGGGCAAATGGGCGATGTTTTAGCGATCTTCTAAAGTGTTCTTTGTTCTGTTGTCTTTCTTTCACTCCAAAGAAATGTCTTATACTGTTTTTTTTATTATTCCAGATAGATTACACAAGGGGAAAATGTTGAGAATGCTTGCAATTACAATCTAATAGGGCCAATTATTTTCCCAACGCTGCTCAGGGCTGAGCTTCAGGCTAATGTTGGATGCTCGGTCTTGCCCTGAGATGGGCTTCCAGTGTGGCTTTCTTGTGGCCCTCCAAGGGCATGTCTGTGCCCAGAGGGAAATGATGGGCTGGGGTACCTGGGCTGGGGTTCCAAGGCATCGGTGTGCTGTGTGGCTGCGGGAAAGTCACCAGCCCAGCGGACTCTCTGCAGGTCGGCTGAGACTATGACATCGACAGATGGCAGCAGTGCGGGGAAGGGCTAGAGGGCGTGGGCCTGGGTTGGGAGAGAGGGAGACAGGGGAAAGGGAATTGGGCTAACAGGAGGGCCCCTGCCACTCATGCTGCCCTCTGCTCACAGGTACATGGCCATCGTCCATCCCTTCCAGCCTCGGCTTTCAGCCCCCGGCACCAAGGCGGTTATTGCTGGCATCTGGCTGGTGGCTCTCGCCCTGGCCTCCCCCCAGTGCTTCTACTCCACCGTCACCATGGATCAGGGTGCCACCAAGTGCGTGGTGGCCTGGCCCGAAGACAGCGGGGGCAAGACGCTCCTCCTGTAAGGCCTCTGGGGGATTGTGGAGGGCAACTGTGTGTGCGTGTGCACGTGTGTGTGTGCACACGTGCGTGCATGCATCCATGTCCAAGCATGTGTGGTGTGTGTGCATAGGTGTACACATGAGTGAGTGTACACGGGATTATGCGAATATAGCTGTATGCTTAGTAAACAACACACACGATGTAGCCGATCTGTTCTTAGCACTTTATAGATGTTGACCCATTTAATTCTCCTAACAATATGGAGTATATATTATATTATTATCATTACAATTTTTTAGATGAAGAAACTGAGGCACTGAAAAACTAAGTAACATGCCCAAAACCACACAGCTAGTAATTCAAATCCAGCTAGGGATTCAAATCCAAGCAATCCTGCCCAGGACCCAATCTCCTCACCACTCTGCTACTCAAATATGCACCCGTGCATCCTTAGATAAGGATATGCATGCATGCACACGTGTATGTGACTGTACATGTCACATGCACACGCGGCACCCATTTCTGCCTGTGTATGCACGTGCAAGTGTGTGGGCATGTTTGTAGAGGTGCGTGCACTCGGGCACATGTTAGGGACATGTGTAGGCATGTGTTTGGGGGAGACTCTGTATATGCTCAGGCCACAAAGCGGCAGGAGACTGAGGCAGAAAGCGTCCACGATGAAGCCTGGGACATTTTCAGCTGCTGAGGTGGGCATCACAGGCTGGAGGCAGGGAGGGCAAGGTTAGAGGGACTCAGGTATGGCCCAGCTGCTGTGTGACCCTGGGTGAGTCCTTTCTCCATTCTGGCCTCAGTTTCTGAGGATCTCACATTGTGTCTCTGGGGTCCCTAGGCACTGAGCCATTGCTTGGTAGAGGCTAAAGAACTGACTGGGGTTCTGGGGTCAGTCAGGCCCATAACGTGGCCTGCTCCCGCCTGGCCCGGGGATGCCTCACACTCACATAACCTCTGAACCTCTGGCTTTCTCTCTCTAAAATGAGGATTCATAGTAGTACCTTACTTTGTGAGTGTCAGTGAGACAGTGTACGTGAAGCCCTTACTTAGCACCATGCCTGGCACAAAACTGGTACCCAGCATGTGGTAGTTTAAATAGGGGACACATGAAAACACACCTGGAGGTGACAGATCCTTCCCACAAAGTCCCAGCTGCCCCAAGCATGAGGGTGTGCATGGTCTGAGGTGAGGGCTGCCAGGTAGCCATGGCAACACACCTCTCCTCCAACACCCTCCCTGCCTGGTCTCCATCTGTCCTGAGCACCTGCCAGGAGAAGGCTGCTTTTGTGGGTTTCAGGGCTAGGCAAAGTGCCGTTCCTCTGAGAACTCGTTCCTCTGAGAAGCCATTCCTGGGAACTGCCCAGGGTCTCTGATCTCCCCCTGCACCCCCACCCTCTCACAGAGAGCAGTTTCCATATATTTCTGGCTCAGGAAAGGGTGGAGAGCAGAACATATTGACACCGGCCACTTGGAGGCGGTATTTCTCCACCTTAATACAGGACCACTGAGCGTGCCAATTCTCTGGGAACAGCGAGTTCCAACCCAGATTCTGGCAACCAGGAAGAACAGGCAGGCAGGGGCGGGCTAGGAAAGCCATACTTTGGTGTTACTTAAAATTCCGAAAGGATCTGGGGAAAGCCTGGTTTTAAGTGTGAGAATGTGTTATTGTTTTTCTTGGGGGAGAGCCTAATTTAGAGATTTAGTATGAGGGCTCCATCCCCACAGGCTCATGTAACTGTGCGTAATTAGGAATCTGATGAAATTAAAGATGCCCTCTCCAGGAACACATGCACACACCCCCAAAATCAAAATACAAAAAGACTCCCTTTGGGAGGCCGAGGCGGGCAGATCGCCTGAGGTCAGGAGTTCAAGACCAGCCTGGCCAATGTGATGAAACCCTGTCTCTATTAAAAATATAAAAATTAGCCGGGCATGATGGCGGGTGATCCATCCTCAGCTACTTGGGAGGCTGAGGCAGGAGAATTGCTTGAACCCGGGAGGCGGAGGTTGCAGTGAGCCAAGATCACACCATTGCACTCCAGCCTGGGCAACAAGAGCGAAACTCCGTCTCAAAACAAAACAAAACAAAACAAACAAAAAAAGGTGGCCCCTGGGACTCTCTCCCTCTGCCTTCTGCATGGAGACCTAGCCCAGGGTGAACTCCTGTCCTGCACAACATCCTGGGAGCAAGCAACAGAGGAGTGTGGCTCCTGCTAAGGAAGGACTTAGAGATGGCCTCCTCCTTTTACAGATGGGGAAACTGAGGCTGAGGGAAAGCCCTGACTTGCCTAAGATCATGCTTTAAACAAGAGGCTGGACAAGAGCCCTGTTCTGACTCCCACAGTGCTGACCCTCAGAAAAGGGGAAATTGGGTCATGATTAAATCTGTAGACTGATATGACACAGACTGCCTGTGCCTCTCTGGGCCTCAGTTTCCCTATCTGGACACCGAGACAGGGGAGCCTGTTGATCCTCACTCTGTAAGGTGACGGGCCCTGGCCTTCGTTGCCTTTCCTCCCCTCTTACCTGCTTCACACTGGGGTTCTCAACCCAAAGCCTACTTGAGGATCAGGGAGTCTAGGAGTGCCTGAACCTCTTGCAATTGGCATGTTTGCACAAGAACCCAAGCAGAATTCTAAACACAAGACTTTAGGAGAGAGATTGACGGGAGCCTTTATAATCACCCAATGGGTTCACCTTGCCTGCTGCCTAGACAGAACTGATTTATCAAGACAAGGGAATTGCAGTGGAGAAAGAGTAATCATGCAGAGCCAGCTGTGCAGGAGACCAGAGTTTAATTTACTCAAATTAGGCCAGGTGCGGTGGCTCACGCCTGTAATCCCAGCACTTTGGGAGACCAAGGCAGTGGTCAGGAGTTCCAGACTAGCCTGGCCAACATGGAGAAACCCTGTCTCTACTAAAAATACAAAAATTAGCAGGGCGTGGTGGCAGGCATCTGTAATCTCAGCTACTTGGGAGGCTGAGGCAGGAGGATCACTTGAACCTGGGAGGTGGAGGTTGTGGTGAGCCCAGACCCCGCCACTGCACTCCAACCTGGGCAACAAGAGCAAAACTCCATCTCAAACAAAAACAAAAACAAAATCAAATCAGTCTCCCTTAGCATTCAGGAATCAGAGTTTTTAAAGATAATTTGGCAGGTAGGGGATTGGCAAATGGAGAATGCTGATTGGTCGGGTTGGAGATGGAATCATATGGTGTCGAAATGAGGTTTTCTTGCTGTCTTCTGTTCCTGGGTGTGATGGCAGAACTGGTTGAGTCAGATTGCTGGCCTGGGTGGTGTCAGCTGATCCACGAGTGCAGGGTCTGGAAAATATCTCAAGCACTCATCTTAGGTTTTACTATAGTGATGTTACTCCCAGGAATTTGGGGAGGTTCAAACTCTTGGAGCCGGAGGCTGCATGACCCCTAAATTAATTTCTATTCTTGTAGCTAATTTGTTAGTGCTGGAAAGGCAGATTGGACCCCAGGCAAGTAGGGGGTCTTTTCGGGAAAGGGCTATTGTCACTTTTGTTTCAGAGTAAAATTATGAACTGAATTCCTTCCCAAAGATAGCTCAGCCTACGCCCAGGCATGAACAAGGACAGCTTAAGGGTTAGAAGCAAGACAGAGTCGGTTAGGTCTGATTTCTTTCACTGTCATAATTTCCTCCGTTATAATTTTACAAAGGTGGTTTCACCATGGGTCCCCTTCCCTTGGGGTGGCAGCACCTCTAGAAAGGGGCCCAGCAAGGCCAGCACGTGGCAGGTAGATGCAGGAGGTTTGGGAACACCTCAGTCCTCCCAGTAAGAAAGAAAAAGTCATATGACAGGACCAGGGGTCTCAGGCCCCTTTGGTGGAATGTTCCAAGGACTCTGTTCTATGAAAGGGATCCCCGAATGCCAAAGGAGCTGAGACCCAAAGAAGGAGGCAGAACAAATCCAGTTTGTTAGTATTGGGTGATTTATTGAGGGAATTTACAGACAGAAGCAGGATCTTGGATGGCCACAAGACAGGTGGAGCTCTGCATTCTCACTCCCCACACGCAACGCTTAGATACCATAGGGAAAGGGTATTCGTGCTCCAGCAAGACAACGAAAGGCAGCCCTCCAGAACAGGCAAGAACGCTATGTGCGTCACGGCTCACGATTTGTGGAGTAACATCAAGGTTGACAGGTTCTTTCACTAGGAACAGTAAATAAAGTAGAAATCAGAAGGCATTCACAAGACTGGAGTGCATCAGAAGTCAACACGGGGGAGGGCACCCAAGATGGAGTCACTTTTGTCTCCACAGGCTCCCACTGCAGATCTGCCTGGGAGTCAGTCCCCAGCCTGCAGCTCATCAGAGAGAGGTTGCAGTGTCATAAACCAGAGATCTAAGGACTGGGGACATTGTCTTTTTTTTTTTTTTCCGACAGGGTCTCACTCTATTGCCCAGGCTAGGGTACAGTGGTCCAATCATAGCTCACTGCAGCCTCGATCTCCTGGGCTCAAGTGAACCTGTTGCCTGAGCCTCCTGAGTAGCTGGAATTACAGATGTGCCCCACTACGCCTGGCTAATTTTTAAAAATTTTTTATAGAGATAGGGTCTCACTATCTTGCCAAAGCTGGTCTCAAATTCCTGGTCTCAAGCAATCTTCCCATCCTGGTCTCCCAAAGTTTGGGGATTACAGGCATGAGCCACCACGCCTGGCCTACACTGTTTCCAAAAGGAAATGAAAAGCCTCAACACAACCCAGTGTCCTCCCTGGGGACAGAGTAGGAAGCCATGCAGTGGTACTCTGCACCACTTCCTCAAAGATGGTATGAAAAGGCATTTGCTGACACAAACAGGTTCCCAGCCAAATGCTGATGACCGTAAGCAGATGACACAGCAGCATGTGATATACGGCGCTTTTCCACTGTCCCATTCCCCCACAGCGATGTTGGTACAGATGGAGTCTTATTAACACCAGTCATTCTATCCATCCAGACAGATACAGATTATATATATATACACATACACATATATATACACATACACACACACACATACATATACACGTACACATATACACATACATATACATATATGGCTATACTGTAGGATACACTCCAAGACCCCCAGAGGATGCTTGAAACTTCAGATAGTACTGAATTCTCTCTCTATATATGAATACTATGTTTTTTTTCTCGACCTATCTATGATAAAGTTTAATTTATAAATTAGGCACAGTAAGAGATTAACAATAACTATTAATAAAACAGAACAAGTATAACAATATACTGTAATTAAACTTCTGTGAATGAGGTCTCTCCCTCTCAAAATATCTCGTGGTACTGTCCATCCCTATTTCGGATCCGCAGTTGAGATGGGTAACTGAAACCCGGGAAAGTGAAACTCCCATCAGGGGTGACTACTATTCATACATATGATTCTTGAAAAAATATGCCAGATATTAATGGTTAATGTTAATAGTGGTGGGAGTGGGATAATTTTACTGCCTCCTTTGTGCTTAATGGTATTTTAAATTGTAAACAAGTTACTTTTTAATTTGTTTCGCTCATTTTTCCTTTTTTTGACACGTGTCTATCACGTGGAAGGACGCAGGGCTACTGCTGGCGTCCCTTTTGCAGGGGAAGCCGTCTCCTGGCACACAGGCTACCCAGTGTCCCCTTTATTTTTGTTTAAATCAAACCAAGTCCCTGGAAGGCGCTCAGGGTGGGTCCGGAGGGGCGGCTCCACAGTGCCCGCGGGGTCCCAGGACCAGGCACTGGCCGACTTCGGCGTCGTCCCCGGGCCGCCCGCTGCCGAGGCCCCCGGCTCTCCCTGCAGGTACCACCTCGTGGTGATCGCCCTCATCTACTTCCTGCCGCTCGCGGTGATGTTCGTCGCCTACAGCGTCATCGGCCTCACGCTCTGGAGGCGCGCAGTGCCCGGACAGCAGACCCACGGTGCCAACTTGCGCCACCTGCAGGCCAAGAAGAAGGTGGGAGCTGGGGCGGGGCCTGGCGGGGGCGGGGCTGGTCCTGGCCCCGCCCTGGGGAGCCGCCCTTGAGGTCTCAAGGCCGGTCCGCGAGAGGGCGCCCGGGAGAAGCTTGCGGAAGCTGCCTTTGCGCCAAGCCTGGGGCCAGAGCCTGACCGCGTTCCTCCCAGGCGGGCAGATTTCCCTTTGGTCTTTGGCCACACACAAAATTAAAGAAACTTCCCAGAATGTTAGGGGAGTTAGGGACTCCTAAAGCCCCATAGAATTCAGATACCCCCAAGAATCTTAGAATGATAAAATATTAAAATCTTAGACTGAATAATCAGAATGTTGAATTTGAGAAGCCCCACAGAACTATAGAAGGTGCCTAGTCTGTCACAGGAGAGTCCTCAAAGGCTGGAACTGCGGACCTCAGAAGTCGTGGAGACCGGATTGTTGTCCAGCTTCATCAAATCTGTCTCCAGTTTCTTCCGGAAGTGCCAGTGTCCCCCTACTCTCTGCCATCCAAGGCCCTCCCGAAGGTCCTGATGTAGCCCTCTGTGTCCCAGACCCCCTTCACCCTCCTCCAGTCCAAGCTTGTCTTTGCCCCCTTCCTGCCAGGCAACAGGGGAGGTAATGGGTTAACCACATCATGTAGCCAGGTCAAAGCCACGGCTTCTCACCCAATAGCAGGCATCTTTCACAGGTGGTTTGGGGAGGTAGCTGCACATGGGCGCCATCTGGTGCCCCTCATGGAGCACTGGCCTCCATCTGCTCCACCCTCAGGGTCTCAGCCCAGATCCTACGTGAGGATCAGGGTACCCAGGAACCCCCAGACCTTTTGTAATTGGCATGCGGGCTGCCGAGTGGTGCAGGAGTGTGCCTGCAGGGGCCAGGCTCTGAGGAGGGGGAGGTCCGGGAGCTGACCCATGGGCAGAGGTAGGGGTCCCTAGTTGGAACCTCACAGCCCACAGAGAGAAGGGCTGTGCCCATACAGATCCCAGAGAGGGGGCGACCTGGGAACGCATAGCTGACACGGGGGCTCCCCTAGGGATGGGGTTAGGAGAGAGAGCTCAGCCACTCTCCAGGGAGGGGGAGCTGCAGCGAATCAAGGGGTCCCAGACACCTCTTGTAGGAAGTGGCCATTGAGCTGGGCTTCAAGGAGTGAGGACTTCAAAGGAAGGATAGCAGTGTGAGCAGAGGGACCGGCCTGAGCAAAGGTCCCTGAGGTTGGGGGCTCAGGAAGGTCTGGGCGACACATGCTCAGGGGCCTGAGTAATAGAGCTAATGGGGTCTGAGTGTGGAGCGATTCCCAGGCGGGCTGAAGGGGTGCTTTACGTCTGCCCTTGGAGGGCTGGGGCTGGGACTTGGGCACTGAGAAGTAACTTGAGCCTCTCCTGGACCAGTTTGTGAAGACCATGGTGCTGGTGGTGGTGACGTTTGCCATCTGCTGGCTGCCCTACCACCTCTACTTCATCCTGGGCAGCTTCCAAGAGGACATCTACTGCCACAAGTTCATTCAGCAGGTCTACCTGGCACTCTTCTGGTTAGCCATGAGCTCTACCATGTACAATCCCATCATCTACTGCTGCCTCAACCACAGGTGAGCCGCCACTCCAACCCCACCCTCTGCCCTCAGAGCTCCACTGCCCGGCCCCAGCTGGGCTCCCCTGCACAGCTCAGGCATCCACCCTCCTTCCTGCTGGAGCCTGTGGCCCTGTTCCCCCAGCCTACACGAGAAAGCCGTCCTCACACTCAGCCCCCAGCATAATCCTCCCTCTGGCCTGGGCCTAGCTTGAGCCCCCATCCTTCCCAAAGCCTCACCCTGTCTCCCAGGCTGTAGCTCTAACCGTCTGTTACTGCTGGCTCTTCTGGGTTCTGTGTCTGGGGTAAGGAGAAGAGAGAAGGGAGGACCAGAGAGATGGAGGGAAGGGGAGCATCAGAGAGAGGGGGCGGGACAGACAGACGGCGGAAAGAAGAGCCAAGTAGCGGGAGGGAGGGACTGACTTCTGTTCTAGTATTTTCACGAGCTTCCTACTGAGGGCTTTCCTGGAGCCAAGTGAGCGGCACCCATCTGGCAGTGGAAGCAGGGATGGGGGCTGGGGCCAGTACGGGGGGGGGACAGGCTGCTCCCTGGAAAGGTCACAGTGCATGCCTTGTCCTCCAGGGGCTTTCAGAGCAGCTGAGAAGTGACCTTGGCAGAGACAGCCAGGAAGGAGAGCACCAGAATCTCACTCTCCTGGCATCATCCGTTTCCCGAGCCCTTGTGATTCTGAGGAAATGAGTCCCAGAGAGGGGCCTGCACTTGCTCTGGGGCACCTGGAGAGGTGGGGGGTGAGGAGCCAGGCAGGAACTCAGCCCCAGGAGTCCTGCAGAGCAGGCCTTTCAGCTGCAGAAAACCCTGAAGGTGGGACAAGTAAGGGGCAGTGAGAGGTGGACACAGTCTCACCTCAGTGAGATAATGATGTGGGCGAAGTTGGCCTCAGACCTCTTTGTTTGTGTTTTTTGTCACCTCCCTGGCCAGGTAGCCAGGCTACTCATAATGCCATTAGGATCTTTGTTGCTCAGACATTTCACCCGCCTGGGGCAAGCCAAAAGGAAGTAAGGAGCTATGATTTTTTGCATGCTTACTGAAGGGTTCTCCTCTATCTTCTGAGAGGGAAGTAGATAATAGGAGAGAAGCAGGTGTCATCCCCACTCTACAGATGAGGAAATGAGCTTCAGCAAGGAAGATGCTCCCAAACTCATACAACAAACAGTAAAGCCAGGACTCCATGTCTCCAAGGCCTGTCATCTTATCCCCACACCACGCATTTCTCTTTTAAAGACTTGTGGGATTGAAAACCTGGAGACAGGGACTCGACCAGCCCACTGTCTCTGTGGGTTCATCACTCTCCTGCTACCCAAGGGAGATACCGTCCCTGGGGGTCTGAACAACACCCCAGGCTCTACAAGATCCTGACATCGCTTCTGGATCATTCCCCTCTCTGAGCGGTCGGCGTTCCATTTCTGCTGTCTGATTTCTTCCACTCACTGTGTGTGCTTGCTCTAAACTCCCATTCAGTGCTGCCATGGGGAGAGCTATTTGTTTTCAGGCAAATGCACCAGAACTTGGTGGCTCCAAGTGTGGGTTTTTCAATGCAGTCCCCTTGAGAAAAGCATCCTTGTTGTCCCAAGTTGCCAAAGCTTCCATTGTGTTTTAGCAGGAGGAGTTCTGACTCCTCCCTTAGAAGCCAGTTAACAAGTCAAACGAGAATATCTGCTGGTTTTGTGTGGGGTTTTTTAGTAATTATGCTGGGGTGTTTTTTTGTTTGTTTGCAATAACAGATGACCTAAATCAGCTTAGTCACCCACTTCATTCACTAGACCCCACTCCAGAACACTCTGGCAGTTTCCAAAAATCAAACTCACCCACGAAGGCATCTCTCAAGAGCCCCTGAGCCGTGGGAGGCTCTGGGAGAGAGACAGTGACTTTCCCCTGGAAGGAACTCAGTTTCCTAGGGGTGGGGCAGTCACATCACAGCTCCTGTGCCCCTAACTCCCTGGCTCAAAGTGCCCCTTGCTCCCCCAGGTTTCGCTCTGGATTCCGGCTTGCCTTCCGCTGCTGCCCGTGGCTCACACCCACCGAGGAAGATAAGCTCGAGCTGACTCCCACGCCCTCCCTCTCCACGAGAGTCAAAAGGTGTCACACTAAGGAGACTTTGTTCATGGCTGGGGATGCAGCCCCCGCCGAGGCTACCTGTGGGGAGGCGGGGCGTCCCCAGGATGGATCAGGGCTATGGTTTGGGTATGGTTTGCTTGTCCCCACCAAAACTTATGTTGAAATTTGATCCCAATGTGGCAGTGTTGGGAGGTAGGGGCTAGTGGGAGGTGTTTGGGTCTTGGGGATGGATCTCTTATGAATAGATTAATGCCCTCCAGCTGGAGTTAATCCTCACTCTTGTGGGAATGGACTAGTTCCCAAGATAACAAGTTGTTAGAAAGAGTCTGGTGTCTTCAGTTTCCCTGTCTTGCTTCCTCTCTCACCATGTGATCTCTTTGCACAAAACCAATTCCCTTCTACTTTCCACCATGACTAGAAGCAGCCTCAGGCCTTCACCAGATGCAGCTGCCCAATCTTGGATATTCCAGCCACCAGAATCATGAGCCAAATAAACCTCTTTTCTTTATAAATTACCTAGTCTCGGGTATTCCATCTAGTCTCGGGTATTCCATGAAAGCAACACAAATGGACTAAGACAGGTGCCTGCTGAACCCTGAAGCCTTGTCTGGCTGTGGAACAAGGTGTAGCACCCTTTGAGAAGTAGCCAGTCGAGAAGACCGATCTGAAAGTTCAGCTCATGCCCATCTTTCAGTACACCAATGCAAAGACAACATGGGGCCAGAACTCCAGAAAGGATGCTGACTCTAAGAGGACTCAGCCACCCATCTCAGAGAGCACTTCAGGGAATCCAGTAAGGGTCAGAAAAGGCAGTGTGAGCTGATATTTATCTAATCTAGGAGATGCAAGCTCAAATGCCTTCCTGGGGCACACAAGAATATGTATAAAAGAAAAGCTGCAAATGTGATGATAAAAGGCAACTGACTTCCAGCCTCAGTTTGAGCTATTAGGGAGTGGTGGGGGCCATGGCAACCTGGAGAGGATAGGCATTCAAAGGGGACAGGAACTACTCAGCTCTGGACAAGCGTTGCCACATGGTAATGGGAGCCCACTGTTGCTAGATATTCCTAAATCTTTCGAGAGAAGCTATAAATCCACATTTGTATGTGAGTCTTCCAGATTTGTTGAATTTGACCCACATTTTTGTAAACTTTGCATAAGCTAAACAAAACATATCCATGGGCAATGCAACCATGACACTGACTCACCATCAGGATGCGGATACAAAGGAGGAAACTTCTTATTTCACGAAGCCCAGTGACTGAGTCAGCGGAGGGCTTCTCTGTCTCAGTATTTAAGATGTAAGATACAGCCCAGGTAGATGGTGATTAAGAGTCAAAAAAGCCAGCTGTTTCCCCTCAGGCAAGTCACTGTGACCTCTGCCCAGTATCGTCACTACTTCACAGGGATGCTGTGAGGAACGATGGGAGTCATGCCTATAAGCTAGCAGGCCAGGCCAGATTAAGTGCCCAATACATGGTAGCCAGGACTTTTTTTTTTTTTTTTTTGAGACAGGGTCTCTGTCTGTGAGACCCAGGCAGGAGTGCAGTGGCACCATCACGGCTCACTGCAGCCTCAACCTCCTGGGCTCAGGGGATCCTCCCGCCTCAGTCTCCCATGTAGCTGGGACCACAGGTACACACCACCACATCCAGCTAATTTTTAAGTTTTTTTGTAGATATGGGGTCTTGCTATGTTGCCCAGGCTGGTCTTGAACTCCTGGGCTCAATCATTGCTCCTGCCTGTCTCCTGAAGTGGTGGGATTACAGATGTGAACCACCACACCTGGCTGTTAGCCATGACTCTTAACTATTTTATACAAAAGCCACCTACAAAGCAGCAGCACAGCTCCCACCCACTCCCACTTCTGCAGCAAGAAGCTGGAGGGCAGAAAGCAGCAACTGTCTCAACTCCCAGAAAGCTCCAGGTCTGGCCCAGCCCATCCCAAGGGCACACCTCCTCCTGCTTGCCAACTCAGCCTCCACGCCCTGGTTCCCCTGCAGAAGAACCATGTAACATTGTCAGCGCACACTGGAAGGTGTAATGCTACCTGTGTTCTCCAAAAAATCCCTGCTCCACAGACACCAGCACCATGCCCCTAATAAAGGGAATCTGATCTCACCAAATCAGGTGGTTTGGCAATCAGTCCTGTGGAAAGCCACTTAGAGCCGCAATTGTGGCTTGGGACATGACAGGGTGCTTGGGTGCAGAGTGACACGGAACCCACCAAAGGCTGGGGGAGAATCCAAAATGGTAGCCTGGGGATGGACCGGGAATCTCTTGAGGTGGGGGTGGATAGGGCGAGTAAAAGGGTCAGACAAGGGTTAGTTTCCTAGGGATGGGGTCAGTCTAAGATCCAGGAGGGATGGGCCGGGAGTGATGACTCATGCCTATAATCCTCACACTGTGGGAGGCTGAGGCGGGCAGATTGCTTGAGCTCAGGAGTTGCAGACCAGCCCTGGCAACATAGTGAGACCCTGTCTACAGAAAATAAAAATAAAGAAAAAAGATCCAGGAGTCGGAGAGTGCAGTCACCCTGGGCTGCTTGAAGATTTCATCTGTGTTTGGGTGGAGGGGGCGGAGGGGATGGGGCAGGGCACATTTCATCCTTTGTCTTGGGGTTGGCAGAGAGGAAGATGAAGGGCAGGATCCGTGTGGGGATGGCAGAGAGGGGACCAGTGTTGCGGTCCTCTCACTGAACCCAAGCAGCCTGGAAGCCAAGTGGCCTTGTTCTGTAATCCCAGCACTTTAGGAGGTCGAGGCAGGCAGATCACTTAGGTGTGGAGTTCGAGACCAGTCTGGCCAACATGGTGAAAACCCCATCTCTCCTAAAAATACAAAAATTAGCCGGATGTAGGGATGAGCACCTGTAGTCCCAACTACTCAGGAGGCTGAGGCAGGAGAATCGCTTGAACTTGGGAGGCAGAGGTTGCGGTGAGCTGAGATTGTGCCATTGCACTCCAGTCTGGGTGACAGCAAGACTCCATCTCAAAAAAAAAAAAACCTCCTCCACCCAGAAGGCCACAAAACTCCCCCAATGTTTGGTCTTTGCCACATCCCAAGAAACCGCGCCCCCCTCCGCCTGTCCCCCCATCCCCAGCCATTAAGCATCACTCGGGTCTTTGAATCGGTACAAAGTTTACTAGGTCATATGACATGGCTCACAAAGCGGTGGGAAATTCCAGTGATGGCATTGTTTGTTGGTTGATTCCTTTTACCCAAATGGAGACAAGACACATTTCCGCAGGACTGTCCACCTCCCCCCACGAGACAAACAGAATGCGAGACTGTCACACGTGGCTAGGACTGGTTCCACGGACACACGATTTTGTGGCATTGACACACCACGATGCGATGCCAGGCCATATAGGTGCCAGGAGGGGAGGAAGCAGCTAATGCTATGCCCACACTCGCCTTCAGGCAGTGCCCCCAGGAGGGAGGCCTGGCAGTGTCTGCTGGTGATAATACATTTCACACGGGGAGGGGGAACCCCAAGGATGGGCTTTGGAGGCCCAGAAGGCCCATCAGGTGGCGTGACTTTCCATCTCCAGTCAATAAATAACTCTGTTGGATGAATGCATACGTTAGAAATGGATGCCACTACACTTCACACGTGGGGGACCAGGTCGAAATCAAACCATGCAGAGTGGCAGGGCAGGTGAGGAGGGATCCGGGTGAGAGATATTATCAACAGCACACGCTCTATTCTGTACCCTACAATATACACCATTAGTTGGATTTTGCTTTCCTCCCCGCGCCGGCGGGCCCCGGCGCCGGCGTCTCCCAGCACAACTCGCTGGAAGGGTAGGGGGGTCGCCGCTCGAAGAGAGAAGTGCTGGAGAGGCAGCAGGCTGGGGATCCCGGGCTCTTAGCTGCTTGCCTCTGTGCGTAACCGCACGCCCACGGCCGTGATGAGGGCGGCTCCCTTGCCGCTGCCATCCTCAGACAGGAGGAAGGACACGTTACATTTTGGTGAGAGTTCCTTCACCGTCTGGTGCATGATTCTGGAGAAGCTAAAAAGGACGAGAAAACAGGAGAAGGTAGTTGGAGGAAGATGAGAGATGCTGGGCCTACCTGAAAACACCAAAGCACAGACAGCCCCCTGACTGGTGATGATTCGACTTAGGATTCTTCGACTTTGTGATGGGTTTATCGGGGCATAAGCATCGGAAGTCAAAGAGACTCTGAACCCAACAATAAGGAGCGTGAACGCAGTTGGGAGGGAGGCTGGTTAGAAGCAGCTGTGGCCAGTTGAGAATGGCTGGGAGGCAAGTGGGCCTACGGTCAATCCCATTGTCACAGTTTTCGGCAGAGAGGCCCAACTGCGAATCCAAACACAACTGCTCTGTATGGCTTATGAGGGCTAGGACATGAATAACACACACAGCCACATTGGAGCTTGAGGCTCCAAGGGGACCTCAAAACCAAGGAGGATGTTAGGGGCCGATATGGATCATTAAGGCAGGCCCAAGCGGACCAAGCACTGGATCGGTTCAGGAGGCTACGCAGGAATGAATATCACCCACCTCCAGCTGCAGCCCTGAGACCCCCAGCCCCCAACCATCAACAGCCTGGCTCCCAAAGACAGGAATGCCCTCCAGTGAAGATAGTATCTGAACAAAGGCTGAATCTACATACTTGCAATTTGGGCTGAAAATGAAAGGCAGGGTCAGGCTGAAGATGCTTGGGGCTCTCAAAAGTAGTCACTGCCCTTGGTTGGGGACCTATTAGGTGGGCCAAGTGTGGTGGCTCATGCCAGCACTTTGAGAGGCCAAGGTGGGAGGATCGGTTGAGCCAAGGAGTTTGAGGGCCTACCAGGTGCCCTATACTTTATAGATCTAATTTCTAGTCCTGCCAGTGGCTGCCACCCCATGAGGAAGATGAGATTTTGCAGGGATTAAGCAATTGCACACAGATTCTAAGTGACAGTGCCAGGGTTAAATCCAAGAGTATGTGGCTCCAAAGCCTAGCCCTAAACCACTCCTGTGTGCTGCCTCAGCTGATGGCAAGGAGAGCTATTAAGCAGGAGAGAGGTGAGGATGGAGCAAGACAGATGGTTCCACCCCAAGCCACGGCCATGAGGTAAGCAGGTAACGTCTACACTGAGTCGGGTGAGGTTGTTTATAAGTAGGGTGACACTGTAGTCTCATTTATCTGGGATGGTCCTAGTTTGCCTACAGTCCCAGAGTAATAATTATTAGCACTCCTGACTGGCAAGAGTACCTTAGTGTAGACAATAAATAATATGGTCACCCTATTCATAAAAGCCAAGCTTTGAGACATGTGGTGGATCACAATCACACAGCAAGTGCAATCACATGTCCTTCTCTGGCATGGGGGATCAGACGCCTGACAAGAGAGAGGCCACTCCCTACCCCTCCCTGCCATGAAGCCCAGGGCCCAAACCACTCCCGCCCTTTCAAGTCTTAGCAAACTGATTCAGCAGATGAACAAGAGAGTGGCTCTCCTCCTTTCCCATTTTATTTTTTGAGATAGGGTCTTACTCTGTTGCCCAGGCTGGAGTACAGTGGCGTGATCTGGGCTCACTGCAATCTCCACCTCCCAGGCTCAAGCAATCCTCCTGCCTCTGCCTCCCGAGTAGCTGGGACTACAGGCATTCACCACCATCCTCGGTTAATTTTCAAAATTTTTTTGTACAGAGAAGGTCTCACTATGTGGCCTAGGCTGGTCTCAAACTCCTGAACTCAAGCAGTCCTCCACCTAGGCCTCCCAAAGTGCTGGATTACAGGTGTGAACCACTGCACCCGGCTCCTCCCCTTTCTTAATATCCTCTCCCCACTTACCCAACGCAGCCTCTGGCCTGGCTACAGCTCACCAGGCTTATGAGTGAGCCCACGCCCACCCTCACCTCCTCTCCCACTGCCCGGCCCCCACCTAACAGGGCCTAGGAGGAGTGGAGTGAGGGTCACATCATGCCACTGGTGTGAGCTGGCCAAGTGAAGCCACTTCTCTATATCTCCCTAAGGATCCCAGTCAAACCCTACAAACTGTTCATTACCTTGTCCCAGATAATCTCCAGTTCCTGAACGCACAGCCTTTAGGCTGGCTGGGCTCCGGCAGGGAATTTCCCCAGTGTGAACCACACTGATACCCCCTAATCCAAAGTGATCCCAGCAAGCTCTGCACATCCCAACTGGAAGGCCCACTCACTGCGGATGAAGCTTGTAGAGCGTCCCGTCCACTCCCACAGTCACGTTCAGACGGTCCAGTCCTCTGTTCTCTCGGATCTTATCCACCACCGCAGCCATGCCTGCGCCACACAGCTGCGCGGCCCTCCTGGACACCACCCCGCACACAGTCTTGACAAGGATACTGTCATCGCAGGTGCTATTCAGACCCAGCTGCTGGAGGATGGCCCGGACCTGGAGCAGTGCTAATCGGTCACTGTGGGGGACAAAAGCCAGAGGGCTGGATGAAGTGGGACCCACAAGAGCAGTCTGGGGACCGCCTCCGAAGGATGGCCCCCCCCAGTCACTGTACTCATCCACAAACAGAGTCAAGGGCAA